GTCAGAACGGATTAACCGTATTTACATTGAACCTTATGGGAAAATTTGATTCGGGACGCGACCAAAATCGGGTCGCGACCAAATTCGGAGGGGTCAGAACGGATTAACCGTATTTACATTGAACCTTATGGGAAAATTTGATTCGGGTCGCGACCAATTCGGGTCGCGACCAGAGTTGCGGAACGAATTAAGTTCATGAACCGAGGTACCACTGTAGTTGTTCAAAGTCCCCCAGCCTCAGCTGCTACATACTATTTGAGTGAGCCTAGGAGATTCTCCAAACTGTGAACTAGTGTAGCAAACGGGGAATGTGACCTCATCCAGAACTAAAGATGGAAATTCATATGGCTTCTGAATTCACAGCCACTCTGTCTTGCTGGGATTAAGCCTGTATCTGAAGAGAGGCTGCTCAGCCACAATTCTCTCCAAGGCTGAAATAGCCTCCATATTCCAGAGAGCAACCAGGCTTCAGCAGAACTATCCACCAGCCTCTCAGGAAATTCCCCAAGTGACCTTTGGAAATCAGCTGGACCCATTAGACACCTGAAAATAATAATAATTATTATTATTATTATATTTTTAATCCCACCTTTTAGAAAAAAATGGTCAACACAAGATGGCGAACATACCTAATACTCCTGCCTCCCATTTTCCCAACAACAATCCTGTGAAATGGGTTGGGCTGAGAGAGAGTGACTGGTCCAAAATCACCCATCTGTTTTTCATGCCTAAGGGAGGCCTAGAACAAACAGTGTCCTGGTTTCTAGGCCAGCACCTTAACTACTACACCAAACTGGCTCTCCAGTTTGGACCACTCACATTCTATCTTGTAGAAGTTGGTGACCCCAGTCAACTCCATAGCAGTCAGAGAGTGATCGATCTGACCATGACAAGATCAGATGTTAATGTCTCCCAATTGGTCCCTGATGCCCAACCACAAGAATAAAGTCTCACCTCCAGTGTCAAGACCCAAATAGCTGGCAAACCAAGAATGCTAAAACACAAATTTCAGAAAGACTTCTCTAATGCTAGACTGGGGTAAAATTAGAATCTTGAAAACTGTAAGAGTAAAATCCCATCCAGAGTTATAGTGAGTTAATTAAGGCAGAGTCTCTGAAAGTTTTCTTCCCGCATCTCTCATATCCACATTGTGTTGCCTCTTATCACATAAGCCAATTTTTTGTTTACATGGTCTCTCACTTTCTGTGGTCTCTAACATCCGGTTATCTGTGGGTGCCTCCAGTCACCTGAAGAACCACCATTCAACAATTGCCATACCTCCTCCCAAGCTCATGACTGATACCAAACCTGAAACCCAGATGGGCACAACTTCAAAATGAGGACACCCGCTCCCCCCGCCCCTGTCTGTGTCTTGGTAATACAAACCAGGTCTGCCCTCTCATTCATGGATGAGGAGAGATTTATTACAAATAGACCTGGCATTCGGTAGCAGCAGCTGGAGGCCAAGGCTTCCAAGAACATTGTAACCTGGCTCACAAGTTGGGTGGGCCAGAAAAGATGCATGTTATTTGTATGAGATATATCTTCACTTGCTTGCTTTGTTTTTTGTTTTATTGCTGAATAATTCTGCCCATTGCACTAATATTAAGAAATCATACTTGGAATCAAGAGAGAGATGTGTTTGTTTTTAAATAAAAGTATATAAAATTTGTTTAGAAAATACATTTACATTTCATTCATCTTAATTTCTGTTGAATATTGGAAAAATTCTTCTGTTTTTCTTCTTTTTTAACAGACTATAGGTAATTTCTAAAGTTAAATGTAATGCATATATCGGGAAGCAAGTGCACCTCCATTCATGTTTTTTAACTGAACAATGGGAGGCCAGATTAAAACTATAAGTAATAAATGGTTTGAAAGTGACATGCCCTCTGCTGGGATTTCCTCAAAACTGCATATTTCTATATTGTACAGGCTACACAGTCTTCTATACAGTCATCAGCCGGTAATGATGGCTGGTAGGAACACATCCCTTTATTACCTTTCTATGGAAAATAAGATGATTTACAGTTAATAGAATTTGAGAAGTGGGCCATAAAACTTCTGAGGGACAAATGGAATTCCACATAAGATAGCTTGAAACCAAGAAGAAATATTTGGAGTATAGGAAGGATAATATTTTGCATTAGGATTAATATTTTGCTGAAAGTAATTCCATATGATTTACCCATCATTTCTGACAAGTACTGCTCTTGTATTTTAGAATTCATGTACTTTTAACTATAGTGAATATAAAATCCTAGCACACTTATAATAATCTTGGCTATCTAAGAAACTGGTACAAGTTCACCAGAACTATTAAAAAATCTGTATAAGGGAAGCCCTCCTGCAAAACTGCATTTTTAAAACAACAATCGTCAGCCACAGTCATGTTGCTCATGAGCTAGAAAGGCTGACAGCACTCCATGCATGTATTTATTTATTAGATTTATATGGCCACCCATCTCACATAAAGCAACTCTGTGCAGCTAACACAATAAAAACGTCAGTACAAAAACAAAATACAAAAAGAAAAACAGCAACCAGCCAAACAACAAATTCACGCAACACACAAGCTTAGCCAACTCCTGACCCCATATCTGAGAGAAAAGCCAGGTCTTAAGGGTTTTTCAGAAAGCCAGGCAAGTTGGGGGCTAATCTAATTCCAGGAAGAATAGTGTTCCAAAGAGCAGATTCTGCTATAAAGAAGCCATGCTTTCTGGGTCTGACCAGGTGAGATTCTTCACTTGATAGGATGCAGAGCATGCCTCTTCTATGAGATCTGATGGGCAGAGTAGAGGCAAATTGGAGAAAGGTGGTCCTAACGTGTAGCAATTTAGAATATTTAATATAAAATTAGCTGTCACTAAACATTTGGTATCTATACCGTCAGTAAAGTTGGCACATCACGGAATCATTGTCTTCTTGAAAACAGTTGAATGCACACTTTACTTTTTTTTCAAATTAACCCAGTTACCACAAGGGGTTGAAGGTGTGGGGTTGAAAATGGAAGTAGCTTTTTATTTGTGTATCTTATCAGAGCAAGTAAAAGTTGTCTTATGGAAATAACCATATCCAGTGCTATGGTCCTGCAATACTGATCAGGGGTGAGAATCTTAGACCCTTCTTACTGTCCTCACCCTGAAATGCCTGTGATCAGAACTAGAAGAAATGATGCTAGAGGTTAACCTTTAGCAAAAAGAGGTAAGAAGATGCCCCACTACCAACTTTGCCAATGGCTTTTATAGGTGCTTTGAGCCATTTTAGATTTAGAGTTCTTTCAGGAAACAATCTTTTCTTTCTCCAACTAGTTTAAAATGCATCCATAGGTGACCCATGCTGTTTTGATCATTTTCAGAAATATTTAGACATCAACACATTAAAAGCTCAGTTGTTTTTCTTTGTTTGCATGTCTAGAGCTCTCAGAGCTTCTCAGCAAATTATTGCTTGCCCTTTCTGGACAACAGCTGAGCACAAAGAATTGCCATCCAATCAGTGCTCATTTTCTGTCCTTTCATGCCGAACTATAACAGCACTTTCCCAGGTTTCACCAAATCTATGCCATATTAATAATAAATAAAAATAATCCCCTCTCCCTCTTCACAAATAGAAGAGAAAATAAATTGCTTCTGCTTCTCATCTCCTACACTTGGTTTTTGCATTTCTATTTGTGGATGTTACTCCAGGATTTTGGGAAAAAATTCCAGAGGCGGGGGGGGGCGCAATGCAAAATATAACCAAGTGTATAAAAAATATTTAGAAGTTTCCCACCTGGCATGGTGGCAGACCTCCATTCCTTCCTATCTTCTTAACCATGCCAGCACACCACTACAACAGGAGCCCAGGGGATTGGCACAGGGCAAAAGAATTCCCTCCAGTGAGTACATACAGTAGATCTTGAGTCATGCTGTTTCTGAAGTGACCTTTGCTTTGTCTTTCACTAGGTAAAACAGTGCTGGCACAAATATCATTACTATTTCATAGCCCTGGTGATGATGTTGTGCAATTGATGTTGAAATGACAGACATGTGCTATTACCAGAAGACCTCTTAGCCAGGCTATGGCTAAAGACATAGGTTCTGTTATATGTGTGTGTGTGTACATACACACACACACACACACACACATAGACTCATTCAGTCAGTCAGTCAGTCAGTCAGTCAGTCAGTCAATCAATCAAGGCAAATGTTCCCCTTCAGTATATGGGAACTTCATGTGTAATGCTTCTTGATGAACTGGAACCTCATGTACTATTGAATATACATTGATCCAATACTAACATTGCAGTGGGCAAGCATAATTTAGATTTTTGGTTTATCAGGAACAAGCAGGTATATGGTGTGTACTGCTTGATCACTCCTATTTGGCTGTTCTTGTGATCGGGAAGAAGGCCTGAGCTAAAAATATCATGAAGACTTCTTCCATCAGAAGTAAACTCTTGGGATGATTTTCTTTTAGCAAGCCAAGTTCATAAATCACTGGTCTTGGCTTATAATTCTGCCTTGTTAGGAGAGATACAAATTAGAGATCTGATTCAGAAGAATAGTAAAGAAACCATGGGAAGAAGTCTCTTGCTTCCTTCTTCCTGATAAGATAACATTCTTCAGAAATCTGGCTTCCTAAAACATTTGAGTTGGATCATTGAATGAAATCAAGTGTTCCTTCTTGCCCAATGACTACCAGTTATACTCAGAGATGATTTTTAAAACTCCACGATTGGACCCACCTTGTGTTAAGCAGCATTTCTCAAATGCATTCTGGGAACTAAAGCTGGATTTCTTTTAAACCCCTTTGTTATAGGCAAGCAATGGAGCAGCAGCAGCAGCAACGCCAGGAATCTCTGGAAAGAAGAACCTCTACCACAGGCATGTATCATGCTTTTGGAAGCCAAGCAGGACTACTTTTTCCCCCCCTAATTCTCCCTATTAACTTCTGGCTGCTCCTTGTGCTTTTATTGAAAAAGTTTGGCTTCTCATCTGTTGCTATAATTATTCTGTGGTTTCAGTTACTAAAGTTTATGCATAATGTATACAGAGATGCTTTTGCATTGAAATGCAATGCAGTAGCATTTTTAAAAAATTCTTTCGGATTTTCTTTAGGGTGTTTTCACTGGTAAGGATTAAATCAATTTTGATTGAAATTACCTCCAATGCAAATAGAATGCTCATACTGGTTATATTCCCATATTCTGGCATATCTTTATTAGTATAGAAACATGGCACAAATAACATGGGAGGGTTCACTTTTTACCCCAATACTCTTAATTTTGTATGTCTGAAAATACTCTTAATTTTATATAGTGTCACCGTGATTGCTCTTCTGCCATTCTTACAGAACAGGAAGGATGTTCTAAAGTGAAAGTTTTTCTATTGCTGTACTAGTCTCCTGCTTCCCACATTGCCTGCACTCCCATAACTTATATAATTTGGAGGATCTTATGATCTTTATACAGATACCTCTTCAGCCTGGGAGCTGACTGAGATTAGCCATATTATAGTCCTCACTTATTTGGTTTTCTCAATAGATTTGTTATTGAAGGTGTGTGGGACATAACTGTATAGATATAGCAACTACACCAATACAATAACCCAAAAAGTAAACAACATGCAAAAGAACTTTAATTTGGTGCAACATGGCTTGTAGTATGCCTAATCATGATTGTTTGTGAATTACTGCTTCTCCTCAGCGGAAGATAATCTATATAGGGCATAGAATTCCATCACTGAGATCATAGGGGCACTCTAGGTTAGTCTTCCCCAAAAAGATACCAGTTATGTTGGGAATAACTGCCAGAATTTCCAGCCAATGTAGCTGGTGGTAGTAACAGCAGGGAATTTTGGGAGCTGGAGTGAAGATTACTATACATAAGGCACTGTTTGCTTTGGACCCAATGAACATTATTGGGTACTTTAGCAGTGCTATTGCAAAACAGTTGTAGATGTAATTGGTACTTGAAAAAGAGATCATATGGATCACCCTGTAAATTGCTTTGAACTTCTAGAAGGAAGAGGGATATAAGTACAATAAATAAAAAGAGTTTGGCAAATAAAACTATGTGTTAGATGAGTAGGGTCTTGAAAAGTGGGTCTTCAGTAAAATTGGCTATGGATTAAAAGGTTTGGCATTCACAGGGCTGTGTTTTCTGTTGGTTTTAAATGCATTAGCAGCTTTTCTGGCTTCCTCTGAATAACCTTAATACCTGTATCTTCACTAATCTTTTTTAACTGTTAAGCATTGGGTTCATTTTGATTTATTTTTTATTGCATTCCCTTTTCCCCCACCTTCTAACCATGATGCCTTCTGTCATTCCTCAGTACCAACCCATATTATTATTTTTCCCTTTTCTATTCTTTATAGTCTCCACCCTTCAGATTAAAGTGTCTTCTTCCCCTTTTCACTGCCAGTCTCCTCCTCCTGACTACAGTAACTACAATGCTTCTACTTCCACTGGTGCAGTTGTTCCTCCTCCTCCTCCTTATGCCAAAGCAATCTCATCAGCATCTCCTCTCCCTGAATCTGCTAGCAAGGCCTCTTTCAAATCTGTTCATGGTGCCAGGGAATCCCCTCTGCTTTGCCATCAGTATTCTGCCTCTGAGTTTCCGTCATCTCCTGGCCCTTCCTTTCCACCAATTTGGCCAGGCTACAGAACTGTTACACGAAGCACCAAGGAAATCTCTTTATCTCCACCTCTTGCCTCTACTTCCCCTCATCAGTCCATAAGATGTTCTTCCCTGTCATATTCTCCTCAATCTGCTTCTCCTCCTGTGACCTTTATATCCCCTGTACAAAAGGGGCTGATCCTGCAGCCCCATATTCCAGTAGTCTTTCCTGTGATTGCTGCCCAGAATGGCAGAATTCAGGGGTCTACAGATGCAGTGGTCCAAGATGCCTCAGCAAATGTACCTCAGTCAGGTCTGAATGGCCGGCATGAAGATTGTTTAGCTACACAAATTCCTCTAAGCTCCTCTAGGACACAGGTAAAGAGAAAAGATCAATCTTTTTTCTCCTACTTAGAAGCAGTGCCCATTTCACATTTACCTGGATCCAGCCCACCTGGATCCTTTATCCAGGCTTTTTCTTGGCCCTCCCAACAGTTGCCTCATTCTCCACACCAGCTGTATCCATCTATGTCACACTTTGTTTCATTACATCCTCATTATGCTGCTATATCTGAGATGAATTTGTCCAAGAGGACCCCTTCTTACATGACTTCATCTACCTTTTCCCACATGAGTAAGTACTTGGCTTGAAAATATAAGTATATATAATTTATTTCCTTTTTTAAAATATATGTTTTAAACATATATATTTATATAGCAAAACACATAAGTAGTTTTCAACAGTTGTAAAGTCCTGTTTTCCAGTAAGTCTTTCAGTAGCCCTTTAGGTGCTTATGATGAATTCAGGATATAAATTACCATCCAAAGAATGCTGTAACTGGTGTAATGTAGAATCATGATTAGTTTAGAGCAATGTTTCCTACACTTGGCAGATTCAAAGTTTAGTAGTGGCCATGTTACTTGAGCAGTTGAAACCCATGTATCTGGAATTTGTCAGGTTTGGGAAATGCTGGTTTAGTGTCATAAGCCCTATTCAGGTTCAAAGCATTTTCAATGAAAGAGTAAGGTGTAAATAAGGACATCAGTATCCAGGTCTTAACTTTCGCTGTGGAGTCATAAATCTAGATCTGCAATTTGTAGCTGAATAGTCTGACAAGATTGTTATATTTAGTGAAGCCATACAAACAAGCAATCTGGACACTCTAAAACAGAAGGGCCAACCTTTTGGTAGCCAAGAGGTCCACTTAACATTTTTTGCTTGACTAAGACAATAGCAGGTATAACAAAGAGGGTAGACTTGATTACATACAGGGGCAGAGATTTTCCTTTTTTCCCCAGAATGTTTTTAGAAGGTGATCTGAGTAGGAACCTTTATATGTTTAATTATTATTTATTTATTTTATATTATTGTTTGTTTCCATCTTTAGTATTATAGAAAATAATGCAACAGTTGTTTGGCAAATGCATCACTGCAATTCAGTGACCCAATTGGAACCATCTCTAGGTCTCCATAAAAGAATTTCAGGTGCCACATACAAGTCTTGGGCTGCAAGTTCCTCATGCCTGTACTAAAATAATGTACAGATCAGGCATGTCACAATTTAAAAAAGGAAGAAAACCTCAGACCTAATCCTGCACATGTATGTGACATGGCCCTGCTCACTTTATAAGCTGCCAACCAAACCGTTATATGCAGCTGCTCCTGGCCACCAGAAGGTTGCCCAACCCTGATAAAAATGTTAGCGTTCCTGCTGCCTAGGCTGATTCTGCTAGAATAGTTCTGAATTTTCAATAGTCAGTCCTACTCACATTATAGACAAACCATTATTGAAAACAGTTTGTGCTATAGCATTGGAAAAAAAATCTGGTATCTGGTTTTCTGAGAGCAGAAAGGCAAAATTTATTTATTTTGTTGTAGTTTTAATCTGACATCTTACTATAGAACTGTATCTCCTTTTTTATGGGAGTTTGGATAGGAGAGTGAAGAGTATACTTTACAAATTTGAATATTGCTTGAATTTAGGAAGAGTTTCCAATACTTAGATAGATTAAAATTCTGTGTTATTTAATTGACAAGAAAAAGCTAAAATGAAGCAAGAAGAAATCCTAGTAAAATGAAAGGAATTTATGTGGGGAAAATGCATGTATGCAGAATTGAGAATTGTTGGTTGATTGCCAAAATAGATAATTCTTACTCAAAAGAATTATTTAAAAAAAAAAACCTGCTGGAAATGCAATATTCAGGATGGATTCCCCCCCCCCCCACGCGCACACATTATGGTAATGTCATAAAGCTCAAGAGTCCTTGAAGATAATTCACCATTGAATGGAACATATTTTAAATACTGACTTTTCTTTCTTGCCAGCTATTTTTCTGTTTTTCATTACTAAGTCTTCTATTATTACAAAGTATATGGACTGTATGATAACATTTTATGGTACTTACTGGATACTACTTATTTCTTTTTTAGAGGAACAACAGATTAAGCTATGAGAGTATGCTTCAGTATTAAAAATAACTTCATACTTAAAAAACAAGTCTGATACTGAATTCAGTTTAACCTGAAAACCATTTATAGAATATTTGTGTATATGAATTAGTACCACATCTGAAGATTGGGGTTCTTTTAATATAAGGCTTTAAAATACTGGATTTTGCCTGATTCATTATAATAGGGACAGACTTTCTGAAATAAGATAGAAACAATTTTTTTTAACTGATTATTCATATTATATTGGCTGCTAATTACTGATTATTGGCTTGATTTTAATAATGGTTTTAAAGGACTAAATTAATGTAAGATCGCTTTTATATGCAGTACTAAAGTAATGTTACTTTTAAAAAAAGAATAAAGATTGGTGGCAATGGTGTGACATCCAATATTGGAAAATACTTGTTCAAAATACAAGGCAAGAAGGTTTAATAAAAAAAAAAATTATAAAGAACAGGTTAAAGTCTAACTGTTAGCATGATTATGAGAAATATTTACACACTATGTAGAGGAGGCCTTGCAATAAATCTACTAAAGTGGCTATTCCTCAATATTTTTATTAACTTGCCTGTTTATATTTCCCTATAGTAATGTTTTGTGTTCTAAAATTGCTAACTTTAAAAAGAGAAATATCTCATACTTTGTCACCTGGAAACAATTTTAACCTGGCAAGAGAGAGAGAGAGCTATTATATAAATTGGAAATAATGTAGATTGAAATCTGATATATTAGAATAAAGTTTTGCATATAAATGAGACAAGCCCTGTTGGATCAGATCAGAGGTGTACTTATCCAATATCTTGCTTCTGTGCTCTTTTTAGTGTGCTCACGGTGAAACACAAAAACTCCAAGAGAACCAGTTCTGTTTTCTAGAAAATATATTGAATCTACTTTATTGAAAAAATTAGGAAGGTTATACAAATCTTTCTTCTTTCCATTATTTTGGTGTGGATAATTTAGCAATATGAAATATGAAGTACCTGAAAAACCATTGTATTACTTTGCCTGCAAGAACAGCATCCCAAAACTTCTGAATGGACATGTCCCTTAGGATTGTTCAAATTAATCTTGAATTTAAATGAGAGTCACTAATTTATGAAAAATTTCTTGATAAAGACTAGGAAAAAAGTGTGCAATGTTTGGTGTTACACCTAAATAATATTGTTACAAATAAGATATGAATGGACAGCTCAGTTTGTTCTCCTCATCTGTGTAATGAAATACTAGTTCTGCTAGTTTAACTGAAGGACCACTGCTATTATCACTGTTGCTGCTGTGCTTTGGCACTGTGACCAGTTCATTTATGGTCACCCTTCAGTTTTGAAAAGGGATGCTATACGTTGGGCATAGTTTGAGATTCCAATCAAAATTTTGTTGACAGGATCTATGTCTCTGTAACAATGCATCAGAAATAAATCTGTTACCCTAAAACTGAAGAATACCAGGGCAATCTCCCTTTTTAAAACTGAATTTCATGGACCAGAAATCACTAATTTTCAGTAAGCTTTAATCCTGCCTATTGCAATAGTAGAAGTCCTTATCTAGGAGTAAGCTCCATAAAATATATTGAGAAAAGTAGACAAACATAAGACTATACTGGGACTATCTGAATGTCCAGATGAGCCCATTGCACATGCAGATGTCCCCCAAATGCTAAGGAGTATTTATAATAACTTTATTGAATTTTAAAAGAAACAGAGTAAAAACTGACAAGAATATTAAAAGAGAAAAAAAGAGAAAAAAAGAAAAAATTAGAAAAAAGAGATAGTAAAGATGTAAAGTGCAGAAAGCAAGAAAAAAAGAATTGACTTCTGACCCTCCTTGCAACAGATATAAGTAACAATATACATAAACTCTTGCTCTAAATTCACAAATCACTTCCATTATTCCTATTAACCCATATTATTTCTAATCCTCAAATCCATACAACATAATTTCATTTTTTTCTGTTTCCCGCAAAAAGTCCAAAAAAGATTATACATATAAAAACCCTACAGTTGTTATATATGAGAACAAAAATACATAACTTTTATATATATATTAACCTTAATCAAAAATAGATCTATTTTATAATCCAACTTGTCATTTTCTCAAAAAAAAAAAACAAACAGAAAAATCTCTCCCCATTTATACACAAATCTTTAAAACCTCATCATTCAATCCTGGTCACAAGAAAATCCTGTTAATAACTATCAAAAACCTCAACATACATGTTAACCATAATCAAATCAATTCACTTTATAAACCTTCTGTTTACTTTTAAAAAGCTTGATCTTTAATCCTTTCAAATAGTATCCCCCAAACTGATTTCTTATCATTTTATGTTTGTCTCCTCTCAAATACAGCTTTCCCAATGTAACACCTTCTCTTTGCAAATCAGGATAGGCAGACTGTCCAAATCATACTTCTGTTTTATTATTTGTATGTCCCCTTGTATTATTATATCATTAGTTGGTTTTAGTTGTAAGTCCATTTTGGCTTCTTTTTCCATATCACACTTCTTTTTTCTCAGCTCCAGCAAAGCCACATTTTCTGATCCTTTCTCTAATTTCGAATCTCTGGTCTCTGCTTTATTCTCCAGCACTTCCACTCTTTCAGTAACCTGCTTCATTTCTCCAGACCTTTGTTTCATCTCTCCAGCTATTTGTTTCACCTAACTGTCCATCCTGTCTGCTCTTTCTTCCATTTTTTCCCCCAAAGTTACAAATTTGGCCCCTAATTCATCAAACTTTTGTTTAAGCAAATTTAAAGCAACCATTTCTTTCAGTACTTTCCACTTAGCCATACTCTATTTTTTTCTTCCCCTTTACATCGAATATATTAAATGCGAGTGAAAGTAAGGAGACAGTTCAAGCTCTCTGGAGACTTTCAAGCTAGAATTGCAGGCAAACATCAAGGGAACACAGAGGGATCAGGTTACAATCTTCTTCTGTTTTAAAAATCCAACCAATCCACAAGTATGATCTAACAAAACAAAAGAGTTTCTCATGGAAAAATCAGATCTCTATTGCAAATGGAGTTTTGTATAGAAAAGGAAAAAAACCAATCTCAAGTAAATAAATCCAATTGTCATTCAGCTTTTTGCTAATTGTTCAAAGTCGAATTAAAACTCTGTTTCTGCTTTTAAAAATATAGCCCCCAAAATAAGGATAAGCCCCAAGAGATTTACTTATCTGTTGCAAAGGAAGGACTCTCTTAGACTGAAAAATAATCAGTGTTTAGAAATGGGGATGGTCGGCTCTAATGTCCGTAGAAAGGCTGCACCACAGCTGCAAACGAAGATGGGTCCCCCGCCTCCCTGCCGCTCAACCTGAAAGCCGTTCACAGAGGCTCCCTCCGTGATTAGCTTTCAAGGAATGGCTGTCTGGAGATCAAATGGGGTGATTTCATGCTTCCTCCTTATCCGGAGCAAGTTGGGTGGCCAGTGCTTGCTGGTAGCCGCCGATCAGCTGAGATGCCGTCTCCTGCTGCTCTCAGAGACATCTAAGCCGCCATTAATTCCCCACCAGAAGTCCATATGCAAAAGAGTATTGTGGCAGACAGGCAGGACTTACTCAGGATTTGTGGCAGTCACGGATTGACAAGGAAATCATTTGTGTTGCTGTCTCTAACAGTGCCAGTGATTCACTTGCAGGATTAAAGGAACTGTGCTCACTTCTACTCTTCTATCCAGAGATCATGGCTGGGAACTGACTATATCCGTTCCTGTCTGGTTGGCAAGGAGGCTCTTTGGATTATTTGTATATTATCTCTCAGAGGCAGAGGAAAAATTAAGGCTGATAAAGGAAGATTTTCTTCTTTATTATTATTGCAGACTGCTTCTTATAAAAGTATTATTTTATAGAAAAAAGAATGCTGGGCATTTGAAAGGAACAAATTGCCTCTTCCGAGGCTGAACTTTTCTTGTTCCGTGCTTTGTTTATTAGCAAATATATAAAAGAGTGGTCTGAGTTTGAGAAGAGGAGCCACAATTCATCCAGTAGAATAGAATTGTTTGTTTGTTTGTTTATTCAATTTATATACCTGCCCATCTCAAGTACATGACTCTGGGCTGCTCACAACATTAAAAACAAATAAAATATATACAAATTTTAAGATAAAGCAAGAAATAAAACACACAGCAGCCGGAGAACCATAAAAAGCCCTCAACATAGCTAAGAAACAGGCTCCATCCAGGGCCCCAGGCTCTGGCACAGAACCAGGTCTTCAAAGTCCAGTAGAGTGGGAGCCAGCCTAATCTCAGGAAGGATGATGTTCCAGAGCGGAAAAGGCTGTTCTTCGGGGCCCTGCCAGCTGACACTCCTTGGCTGATGGTACCTGTAAGATGCCTCTCCTGCCGGATCAGACAGGACAGGTAGAAACAATGGGAAGAGGTCCCATAAGTAACCCAGTCCTAAGCCCTGTAGGGCTTTAAAGGTGACTGCCAGCACCTTGAACTGCAGCTAGTGGGAACATAGGAAGCTGCTGTGCCAACACTGACTGGTAGCAGCTCTCTAGGGTTCCAGGCAAGACATTTTCCAGAGTTCCTTGGAAATGCCAGTGACTGAACCTTTCTGCAGAAAATGCTTTAGTAAGCTACATCCCTTGTTGTATATTTGCTTGTATGTACATACGTATGTAATGCTTATTATGGGCCAAAGACCTAATAATAAAGTATGGATATAATCAAGAGGTTTGACATAAGGGTTGACAGATAAAATAAGTTGACCGAGGTCACAGAAAACATTTAAAACTCTAACCTATTAATTTGTTATAAAGACATTGTTTTAAATCCATTGTTTAAAATTTGGCTGTCACCACTGTAATTTTAAGGTTTTTAGCATATTTAGAAATATCTCTTCCTGGGCTTGATTTTAAAATAGGACCAATTATATCCTGACAAAAACTCTTATAAAAATCACAGTGCAGTAGAATACGTCCCACAGTTTTAAGGTCAATACCATTGCAGGAGCAACATTTTTGAGAGATGGAAATCTTTTGAAATCTATTGTACAACAAATTTGATGGCAATGCATTTAATCTGGCTTTTTAGAAAAAGCTATTCTATATTTACTCAAATGTAAACTGCTAAAATATATAGGAAGCTGAAAAGTGTAATTTATTCTAAAGGTGTTAGGGATTAACACTGACCTTTGGCCTTTGCCATTAATTCCTGTACTGTGTTATCCCATAATCTTTAATTACTGTTTATACAATAAAATGCCAGTGTCATACCCCGGGAGAACAAATAATTGGGATCAGTGCCAATAATCTTTTGCGTCTTCTGTTTAAACCACCTACCTATATAAGAATCGTTTGGAATTTTGCATAACAACACTTCCTTGCTTTTGAAAACATATATTTCGAACTAAAAGTTAATTGTACCTAGCCAAGCTTTTCTTTTTGGAAGGATTGCCTGGTTTCCAGAAGAATGAAGAACACAATTTGGAACATTTAAAAGAGCTCTTAAAAATGTTACCTGCAATTGAGCTATGTTACTGTTGACAGCTGTACTCTAAATTGGAGCTTCATATAAGATTTGAGATGAGATTTTTGGATTAAAAGCTTGTATTGCTGTGGGATAGTTCCCTCCCCCCCCCCGAATAAAAATATCAAAGCAAAGCCATCATAGTAGCTTTTGCTTTCAAGAGTATTGCCTTGCAGTGAAATTGCCAGAACAGAACATGACTGAATAAAATGCCCATATACTGTAGCTACAATTCTCAACTTGAGTTATCATATGATCTTGAATCCCCTTTTTTGTCTCCTCTTATGTTCAGTTTAATCACTGTAATGTATGTAGTTTTACTGTACAATCACTGATGTATTATTTTTTATTTGTTTATTACACTTCGCTTTATTTTTTAAAATGCTAAGGTACATCCCTTTCCTGGTGTAGCATTCCTAAGCCTAAAATAAGGCATCCAACTAGAGGCTAAATATGGGGAAAAGAGATGCCAGCTGTTCGTTACAGGCAATAGGGAAGATCCAAGTTATTTCCCAACAAGCCCTGTGCCTTATGCTACAGTGACACAATTACCTGGTAGATTCTGAGGATCCTAGAGATTATGTCTCTCCTGGCTTTCATTTTGCCTGCTGTTATTGGTCCAAGCAACCATCAACAAAGGAAGTGAACAAGACAGTGTATTGCAATTCCTGAATGACATTTCTTTGTTTCAGGTCCTGCCCTACCACCAGGTCACCCTTCTGTTGCCACTGGAATGCCCACATCGTCTGGTGGACCACCCCCCCCCCCTCCCCCCCCCCCCCCACCTACGGGAACCGCGCCACCTCCTCCTCCTCCATTGCCAGCAGGTGGTGGAGGAACTAGCACTGATGACGGATCAGTATCAGGACTAGCAGCAGCTCTGGCTGGTGCCAAATTAAGGAGAGTGCAACGGGTAAGGCTCTCAGCTATGACACAGGCATTATAAGCTTAAAACTGGGCCCTTGAAATTCTGGTATATGAAGGAGTAAGAAAGGCAATGAATAAATATTTCCATCATCCATAGAGAATTTTCAATGGATGCCTTTGATGTTTAGATTTTCCTGAACAGTTAAATCAAATTCTTAATGCCTGTGGAACCTAAATTGTTGGATTCTGTCTTAAAAGCCAGAGGACGGATCTGGAGGTTCTAGTCCCAGTGGTGCTTCCAAGAGTGATGCCAATCGAACAAGTAGTGGAGGAGGTGGACTTATGGAGGAAATGAATAAACTGTTGGCGAAAAGGTTAGTGATTGTGACACTTGGTTAGGGTAATTGAGGGGTATATGTTTTGCATCATCTGTGAAAAGCACTGCCTCTTTTTTCTTATCCACAATTTCAAAAAAGACTAGAAGGGTGGGAAGGGATTGGTCCACTACAGGCTAATTCACCCAAAGGAACTACACTTGCTATAAAAGCTAACCAAATTTTCAAAGCAAAAGACTATGTCTCTAATTATAACCATCAGTGTTTGTTTCAGGCAGAAGATGAAACTTTTATTTGAGCTATTTGCTAGTCAATATGAATATAGCAAATCACTATATACACCCAGTGGTGTACTACTAAATGTTTAACAACCCATCCTGCCATCTCCATTGCCACCCCCATGCTGTGCCGCTAGCCACAGAACAGCTGATTGACACGCTAGATGTTGAGGCTCAGCTCTGCCCTCAACTGGTTTGCAAAATTGCATAAAATTTAACAGTTGGCTCTCACAAGCCAGTGTGAGCCAGCTCCAGCACACCACTGGATATACTCCTTTGCCATTTGTACAGATAATTCCAACTGTGTTGAGAGGAATTTAACATAGATGAATGCATAAGTTGTGGATGTATTTCCAAGGAATTGATTTATAGCCTTTTTCACTCTGTCCTAAGGAGAAAAGCAGCATCCCAGTCAGATAAGCCAGCAGACAAAAAAGAAGAGGAAAGCCAAAATGTAAGTGGAGCGCTGTCTAATTCTGTGGCATTTGAATCATGGAAGTAATTTGGATGCCTATCAGAGTGATTTTGTGAAGGATGCCCTTTATCTGCTCTCATATATATAATTTGATATTGAAACATTTGGCCTGCCTCATCAGGCAATTGGAAAATGCTTTAGGCATTGTGGTTCTCTGTCAGCCCCACTGTTGTCTTTCATGGGGAAGCAGTACCCCTTAGGGAGCAGGTCTGTGAATCAGAGTCCTACTGGACACATGGCTACTGCTGGATGGGCAGGTAGAAGCCATAGCAAGGAGATTCTCTACCTGGTTTCCACTAGTGTATCAGTTATGGCCCTATCTGGAGTGTGAGAATCTCTCAGTAACAACACCCTCATCATTATTCAGACTGCTATACAATGCTCTATATAGGGCTATCTTTGAAGATATTCAGAACCTATAATTGTTACAGAATGCAGTGGCCTTTGTTAATCACCAAGAACATACAGTAGTACACCTGTTACAGGCCCTGCACTGCTTGCCAGTGAGTTTCCAGAGCAATTTAAAGTGCTGTTTTTAACCTATACAGCTTTGTACAGCTTGTTACAAAATACTTTGCTGGGCTGTGTTTGCCAGCTGAATCAACCTTTCTGTTATGCTTTTTCCAAGGAAAACTCCTGGTAATTCCCTATGTTCATGAGGTGAAGGGGGCCAAGACCAGGAAGAATTGTTCTCGTTCATTTTCCTGATGTTATGTTCTCTCCCTAGAAACTAGACTAGCCACATTGTTGACCTCTTGATAGGTAGTAAAGGTAATAAAGATAGAGCTCTTCTACAAAGCTTTGGTGGTTGATTAGATGACACTGTCTCCTGTCATGATATCTTTTCATTATTATTGTTATCATGGACATTTTAATTTAATTTAATTGTTCAAATGTTAGTTTATTGTGGACATTTTATTTGTTATATTGTTAACCACCAGAAGGCATCAGGTAATAGGGCAATGAGAGGGAGGGAGGGAGACAGACAGACAGACAGACATACTTAGAACAACTTCAGTTAATTATGTAGCGGTTGATGATAGGTGTAGAAAAGTTGACAGTACAGGGCTGAGTGAATAAATAGCTTTCTCTGTTAAAGAGAACTTACTTTGTCACCTAGGGAGATTATTTTGTTGCTATCTTATGGCTAGGAATATACAACCATATGTTCTCCAAACAGCAGTCACAAAGAACACAATATTAAGATAACATTTTGCTTGTATTTAGGAAGATGCTAGCACTTCCCCTTCACCTGTTACACGCGGCCCTGTCCAACAGCAGAATTCTTCAGGTATTCAACTCTGTTACTGTCTTCCCTTTGACAACAGTTATTTCTGTGGTGAAATCTAAGTTATGCAAAATGGGTATGACGGGCAGTCAAAAATCTTTAAAAAGATGGTCCCTACTCAATAATTCAGGGAGTGACCACCTCAGTAATTTCGTGCTTGCATTCACACACCATGCTAAGCAGTAATATCGTTTGTTTGATTTTACCTTAAAGTATTGTGAGAATCCAGCCCAATCCGTTATGGATTATTTAAGAAAGATTAAAATAGGATTATAACTAGATTTAATTTGTGAACCTAGCAACAGTAATTCATGTGTGCTAGGAAAATTAACACATCTTCTGAGGAAAAAATCTAATATTCAGCACATATATCAGCATAATATTTTTAAGCATGCATAGATGCCATTGCTTTCAAACTGAATGCAAAACTGCACAGAATTATACCTTAAAGTGTCGTAGTTTACTTTCTTGCAGTGGTATTTACCTTGCAAATTTGTTGCTGAGAAATGGTCAGAATATTGTTCTTCATTTGCAGATCTGCTTGATTTTTAAAAAGATATATCTTGAAAGACACAAAACCAGTCACAGTTAATGAAGGTTTTAAATTTTCCAAATAATTTGGGTTCAACATGTGTGTCTACAGAACTTGCATACATGAGCAGGAATAAAGATAATTCACGTTCTTAGAAACAACAGTGACAGTTTGGGAATTGCTACCCCATGGCTGTTTCCCACATCACTCTAGATATGTGGAGAAGGAATCAGCCACATAGAAGGAATAGGGCCATGGAAAACAAAACAGGGCTAATATCAGAGGCCAGGTAAAAGAGAAATATCGCTCTCATGGCTCTTCCCATCCAATACTATCTTTCCCACAGAGTTTCTGCACTCATGAGTTACTAGACCTTCTATGTAGCATTGGATATTACAAAAATTGGTGAAAATAAGAAATAGAAATGTATTATAAGCTATGTTATTTTTATTTATATCCCCCCATACCTCTGTCTAAGCTCTTCTTCCACAATCTAGGTCCTACAGCCTTTTGTTTGTGTGTCTGCTCTTTATACAGATGCTGGGAAGAAACTTTGGGAGAGAAGCAACTCCATGGAAAAACCGGTCACTTCGTTACTCTCTAGGTTAGTTACAGAGCATCCTGTATGGATCACCTGCATGTATTGGACTTGTGCATGATGCTTCTGGATGTGATCATGTTGTATCCTCTCATTCCATTGCATAGAAACCCATCAGTGGTGAGAAGTCCTGAATCTAAAGGTCCCGTTCACTTTCAGCCATCTTTTAGGTACTGAAAAAATGTTCTGACTTCTCTGTAGTCTTTTGGCTTATCCTTTGCAAAAACATGTAACTTTTCATGCAACAACTAACAAGCTGTATGCCTGGGTGTGACGTGCCACCTTTTTTTTTTTTTGCTCTTCTGTTGCTTAACAAACCACATGTCAGTGAGGGTTAGGTATGTAATTGAAATCCATCATGGACTGCTTTTACATGGAAATGCTGTGAACTACTGGAGTGAATTCCAGTATTGCTCAGAGGGTAGCAGTGAGCAGAAGCTCCTATTCTTTGCTGGGGGGAAAAAAGCTGATGTATAGTTTGAAAAAATGCATTAAACTCAGCATACTTTAGAACTGTTAAAAAAAATTGTCTTAAGATTAAATAAAACATGTTACATAAAGTAACCTGAGTGGAGGACATATATATGAGGTATAGAAGGTACACAAAGAAAACATATATATTGTGGAAAGATATGCCTACAGTTCATTCTACTGCAGATATATGGGAATGTTACTTTAACATTAGCAAAAGTCAACATACTAAACATAACATTTGATGTTGGATTATGCTTTTTAACTTCTTCTTTTTCAATATTTTATGCAGAGGCTGTGGAAGGCCTAATTAAAATCAGGATGTCAATGCGGGTTATTTTAATGGCTTTCATCCATGTTCATCCCTTCCAAAATGTAGCGCACACAATGAAAATTGTACTCTGTGTCACGCTCTCATCTCACTAACTGCTCTGTAAAAAGTTTAAACAAGAATCGAGAAACATCAAATTACATGCTTCATATAAATGAAATCAATAACTGTAATAAATAAAATAAAATAAAAATATATAATGAAATTTAGTAGGTTTCTTCCCAAAAGTAAAATATACATGTTACTTAGATTTCAGCTAAATCTGATTATAATTTTAGCATTAAAGCCATTTGGTTAGTCCAGATGTTAAGACTGAAATATTTTGTTGTAAATTCCTAGTTTGGCCTCCAGGGTTTGCAGAAAAATATCATGTAGATATGTAGGCTAGAAGAAAAATACTGTAAATTGTTTTTATTGCCTTTTCTGCAGTTGAAGAAAAATAAACTGCTCGGGGTGTTAATAAATATTTTCTTTCTGATCCGTTGCATTTTTTTTTTTTTTAGCTGTTGAAAATTGACCAAAAAAAATAGGACAGAATTATTTGGGTCTGAAGGAATGTGAAGTCCATATATGACTTTTTCTATATTGTCCAACCCCCTTAAATGCCAGTAGTCCATTGATAATGACATTTCACTTGTAATTTTCCTGTAATTACTTAACCATGTAATCATTATTTAGTATCCCATATCACATCTGGCAAAAAGAGGTAATATAAACTCTGATTTATTGCTTGTGCACTGCACAGTGTTGACCACATGATGTCCCCATGGCTCAGGTTTTGGAATGAGTTGTGACTCAAATGGCTTGAGTGAAGAGGAGACATTGTAGGGAGATGATAGAGCTCTTTGGCACATAGGTTAACAGTATGTATTGGTGGTAGTGATATTGTTGGTGGCAGATAATGGTGATGATAAAGATGATTTATAGGAAAAATAAAGATAGATTTGAACAATGAAGAAAAAATTTTGAAAGTTCATCCAGCAGCTATCCTGGCCTTTGGAAGACATTCCAAACAGTGTCTAGTAAATAATTAATGGCAATAACAGGTTATGCAACAAAGTAGTCATGGAAACTATTTGAATTAACATTACAGGTAAAAAAAAAACTTTACATACACAAATGCAGTTTGGCTTGCTCCCTCCCTTCCCAGTGTATTTTCAAAGCTAAAGTGGCCTTTCAGTGATGCATAGCGGGTAGGGCTTGATGCTACTTGTTTAGCAAAATTACCTGACCACTAAGTGGTACAGGGAGCACAAAGAATTAAGTATTGGTGAGCTTTATGATTAACTTTCATCTGCTTTTATATACCGTTTTATAAGGTATTACTAACATCACATCTCAATAAACATAGCCTAGTTTTGTGAAGCATGGAATTGCCTCTTATTTTCTTTTGTTCTGTCTCAAGGATGAAGCCAGCAAGCAGCAGCAATGATGTGGCAATGGACACTTTAGATTTTGATCGTATGAAACAAGTGAGTTGGAATTTGTACATTAATGAATATTGATAGAAGAAATGTTTATTAATGGTCTTCATACCAGGAAAACCAACAATTTCGTTCAATATTTCTACAGTCTCAAGCATCTTCCTTAGGCCTTACTCATTGCTTGTTTAACTGAAAATTCAGGGATGGAACCTGAAACTTTTTGCATGTTCTACCACTGAGCTATGGTTCTCCTGAGGGCCACTGGTTTACATAATTTGGACAGAATTGGCTGTGAAATGCCTGTCTCACAAAGAAATGAATCATTTTCAAGATCTATGAAGGCAATAAAATGAGAAAAGTGTGTGGATTTATGAATTCTTTTCTCATTCCCAAACCTAGTTAACAAACCATCTCTAAGTGCCAAGACTCTACAAGTAACCTACCTGTTTTATACTTAACTCTGATCCTTGGTCTATCTAGCTCAGTACTGATACTGCTTCTCCAGATTTCAGACAAAGAGATACCAGGGATTGAATCTGAGACTTTTTTATGCAAAATATTTACTCTACTAAACCTGTGTCCCTTGTGACCCTGCCTCTTAACAGACTGCATTAAATGTTACAAAAGAGAAAGCAATTACAGGGGGCAGCCTGAAATCCAAGATTATCTTATATTTCCTATTTAGTAAATGGCATGTATTTCCCACCCACAACAATAAAACACATGTTTTCTTTGTAAAATAAGTGTGGTGTCTCAACTGGCCCTTACTTTCAAATCCAAGAAGTGTCAATCTGTTTGTAGTGTCAGACATATGCATATAGATTCATAATGTGGACATTCTGTGCCAAAATAACCCAAATTCCATGTGAACTCGCTTCAGTTTGTTACTATGCAATTGAAGTAAACCTATACATCTTTTAACTTCAGTAAATCAAATTTCTGAACAGTGCATTTTAACTCTTCTTGTATGGTGCAAAAGTAGAAATTCAGATTAGATTTGTAGGCATGTTTGAGAGAATTTGATTTTCACAGTTCAAGGGACTTAGGCCTTTACAGTGTTGAAGAGCACTTTTCAACTGCTGTTTTCTTTCTGTAGGAAATATTGGAGGAAGTCGTAAAAGAGTTACACAAAGTAAAAGAAGAGATAATTGATGGTAAGAAGCCAGGGAGGGGTTCATTTCTTGCATTGACCTGGGCTGGGGGATCAAGATGGGAGTCCCTTTCCTGCCACCAAATTAAGATGCTTTAGCTACAGTGTATGATAGAGAAGTCAAGAGAATATCCATCTTGTCAGGATTATATCCATTTAATATCATGGCTGCCTAGCTACCCTCTGTCCACTGTCCAAGTTTAGGAAGGTGTAGATAGGAGAATAGGAATTTTATTTTAGCACAAGAAGATTTACCAATCAGTTTTAAGATTCAGATTCCCAGAGAAATCAGGAGATAAATGCTTGAAGCGGTCTGTTTTTCCAACTTGATCTGAAATCTTTTATGATTTACATGCCTAGTAAAATATGCTGTTAAGTTTCACAGAACATGGAAATCAGGCTCCCCTCCTATGTCTATATTTGTTCTTGTAGCAGCTTTAGACATACCTTAAACACACAATCAAGGTGGGTTATTGGAGGAAAAAAAAAAGACACCCTGCTGGTTATCTTGCTGCGTTCCAAGATAACACAGAATGAAAGATTACCCTTCAACTTGTTGACTGAACTCAGGATTTGGCTTAAAGGGAAGTGAAAATATAACCTGCCATAGTAGAATCCAAACCTGCTTAAGCTCAACTCCTGGTGATTACATGGACACATCTGTGTAGTTTTCTGTAGCAACAATACAGACATGGTTTGACTTCCAATATTTTTCCAGTTTCTTGGTGGTTTCCTGTTCAGGTAAGCTAGATCCAGTCAAGCGTAGCTTTTGAGATCTGCCACGGTCAACTAGGTGTTGCCACTTGCTACAGTTTATATAGATATTTTGCAAAAGGTAGGAAGCTGCAAAAACAGAAGCCAGAAAGAGATCTGTTACAGTGTTGAAGAACTGCTATGTTTAGGAACAATTGGAAGCTATATGCAGGTCTGAGAAAGAGTGATGGAGGCAATTCTTTAAAAAAAAAGACCTAGTGGCCTGTGAGTAAATTTGCTAACTGTCATTATATGTTTTGAAGATGCCAGACCAGGCTTTCTATTCAACAAGTTTCTGGCATATAAGGTTGACACCTCTTTCCCAGTATATTATATTACTACTTCATACCAGATTGTTTACCTATTTGACATCTTAACCCAAACCCGAATGTCCAAGGCCACAAGGTTCATCACGTGTAATAGAAGGCAGGGGAGAGGAAACTGCGGGCCATTAAGATGCTTGTGTCCTCTCTGGATCTTACCAGGAGCTGATCTACTCATCCTTGTTTTCTCAATGCTGCCTCTATATTTGCTGTTTCAATCGATTCCCATGAAATATGTTGATGACCTTTAAATTAGGTGTGAGATTGTGATGACCTTTTCCTTTTCCTTTGTTATAAGCCTTGGCTTATACCTTATTTGCTTGTTATTGTTGTTTTCTAGCCATCAGGCAGGAATTGAGTCGAATCAGCACAACATAATGGCAGCGAGACCATCTGGAAGTTGCAAGGGACATGACAAGTGATGGATCATTTCTAAGTGTACCAAGATCATGCAGAATGGTGAAAGAGGACACCTGACAGCATCCTTTGTTTTTAAAATCCTTTTTATTAGCAGACTCAGCAGACTTTGAAGCTTGCTACTGCCTTGGATTTGCTTCATTTAAAAAAGAACGAAAAAAGTCTTAAAATCTTTGAAATGGAAAATATTAAACATTTATCTGGATTTTTAAAATTTCATCTGACAATGCACATCAGATTTGGTCAGCCTTTTTGTATTTTGTATTTGCTTATTTAAATGTATGACATTTTTGTTTTTAGTATATAGTAGGTAAAGAAACATGTGATCCATTTGCTTTTATTAGATGACTTCAAAATAATTTTACTGATAGTCTGCAGTGTAAATGAAAACCTTTTTGCCAACAGAACCTAATTAATGGCATCACTCGTTGAGGCCAGAGGATGCCAGCTGTCAGCCAGGAAGTCCCTAGTCTCAAAGCTACCACCATATTGAAGCGGTACATCAGTGCATCACAGTATCTGTGCTCATACTGGTAATAAATTGTTCATTGTCCACGTGGCATTGATTGGCTTCTTTTCAGTTCTTTCTTGTAATGGATTTGGGCTCACAATATATAACTTTTTACTTATTAACAACAGGGATGGCCAACTTGGCAATCTTGACCAACTATGGTATTCCAAAGGAAATGGCTATGATTATGTTTACACATTGCATGAAGCCATGGTTTATTGAATTGTCTGGATTCATACAAGACGATATACCAAAATTAAGGAAACCATATTATGGTTTCCCATATTGTGTAAACCAGGTCTTTATCTGACCTCTGGTGGTGCTACCAGAAATGCAGTTAGAGAAATAGAAAATTCACATTTTCATATTTACATCTCTTGGATATTTTATGAAATATATCAATTTAAGAAGTTGATGGCTGCAAATCACTGGACCTAGACTGGAGAATAGAACAAGTCTCTAAGACAAATTAAATTGTCTTTCATCATTTTTAAGCATGTCTCCTGTATATAGTGGTTTCATTCAGAATTACTATTATTCTTCTCCCAAAACAAATTTGCACTGAATAGGTCTCCCCATAACACATCATCCAATATTTTGTCATAAATACTCTGTGATAACTAATAGCAAACTATTTTACTTTGCTTAGGCTTCAAATGTATGTTGGCTTGAGCAAACCACTAAAGATATGTGGAACCCACATGAAAAATTTTGCTAGTATAATTGAAACTGTTTTCTCTTGAAATTATATGGAGGTTTCTCCTGAGAAAGACCCTCAAAAATTCCCTCAAACTTTCATTTTATGGGAAAGTCAATGACCAAGACTAACATTTGTGTCCTGAACATAGGATTTATTTACCTGCCTTGGACAATATAAACATCCATTGTTGATTAGGAGGAAGTAATAATACTGTGCATCTCATGTTGTTTAATAACGTGCAACATGCGGGGGGGGTGCGGTTTGAGTACTAAACAAGAATAAGTGGAGCACTGGCTAGGTTTTTAATAAAGCCTTTTTCTTTCCTTTGAAAACTCTGGGGTTTTTTTTATGTGGAAGCACCTCCAATTTTACACTTCAGGAGCCACATGACTGCTGGGGTTGTGTTTTTTTGTTTGTTTGTTTTGGGGGTGAGTTGTCATATCAAGAGTATATAATATAAATTTCAGAATAATGAATCATGCATCTGAGGAAGCAGACTGTAGTCCATGAAAGCTTATGTGATAATAAATACATTCATCTTTAAAGGTACCATAGGTTTTGTTCGTTTTTTGTTGCAATAAAATAACATGGTTAACCTATCTGGAAATTAGTATCATATGTAGTAGCCTAAAAAGAAAGGAAAAAGGAAAAGCAGACAATCAGGTAGATAAAAATAATATACTTTATAAGCCAGTCTTGGCCTCGTTCCGTCCAAACCAGTATTATTCACCCTGATTGGAACATTTTTTCAGAGAGGCCTTTCCAACATTAACCACTTGGTCTTTTTGTAATTCGGAATACCAAGGATTGAAGCACACAAACCATATCCGTTGCTATCAAGCTAGGTTATCTCCCCAATTACACATAATTGTGTTAAGAATATACTTGTTTCAGTCCATTTTTAGGATGCAATCCTAACCCCATTTACCTTGATGACTGCATTAATTTGTATTGAGATTACTTCTGGGTAGGTACATGTGGTCTTTCTCTTTGTATTATATAACGTAAAGCCATAAACAGAGCTGCCTCCTTATACATGTTCAGTCACCTTAAATGTAGCATGGAGGTCCAATTTAATCATTGCAACTAATATGCTTTTGGTAAACCTCTCCTCTAAGAATGGATAATCTTTATTCTATAGCTCTCAAAACCATTGCTCATCACAACAGTATGAGATGATGAGGAATTCCTACATACTTGCACATTACTTAACTGCTTACATGGAGATCCTCCATCTTCCTCTACCTGAAGAATTCCCTATCTACCCTACTTCTCTAGAGAGAGAAGCCCATTGTCTGTAATATCAGACGTACCCAACCTTGTACTCTAGTCAAAATATATAAAGCTAGCCACCTTTCTCTTTCTTTTTTTATAATACTTTAAATTTTAAAAACAAAAATATAAAAACTAACAAGAACTAATAATCAAGAAAAAGAATAGAAGAATAAAGAGAAAGAAGGAAAGCAGAAGTGCAGAAAAATAAAAAATACCAAAAAATGACTTCTGACTTCTTTTACAGCAGATATAAGTAAAACATACATTACAACTTAACATCTATTTTTTCTATAATTATTAATTTTACTAATCAAATTCATATATCATAATTTCATTTTTTCTGTTTCCCGCAAAAAGTCCAAAAGGGACTTCCAGTTAGCATTAAAATTACTCAGTCTTTTCTCTAATCAAAGCTGTCAATTTTGCCATCTCAGATAGCTCCATCAACTTTACCATCCATTCTTCCATTGTAGGTAATATCAAGTTTTTTCAACTTTGAGCATATAAAAGACCTGCTGCAGTTATCATATACCTTTCTCTACTTTCCAGGTCTGTAAATTCAAGCTCCTCTGTCCTCTGACTCTATCCCTGAATTCTGTACTGCACAGTAGTAAAGCAGAAGGTTTTTTACCAGCTTCATTTGAATATTTCTTCATATTTGGATTTAAGAAAATCCTTTGCAATCAGAAATATACATCAGCTACGCCTACCTAGGACACTTCATAAAATGCATCCTTTGTATTTGCGAAGGAAAGATATGCAAGGTGCAGAAGTCCAGAGAGGAAAGGCTAGAGCTGGTATCTAGCAAGGTTCAGAAACCAATTTGCATTTTCTTTTAACCCTTAAATAAGGACTGATGTTATCATCAAAAACAAAGTCCCAGAGAACGTGAACCCATGACTGATGCTGAGGTAGAGTGTCATAATATTCTGCTGCTATTTTCTTTACCTGTAAAGATCAAAGGGAACATATTAATCAGTGATCTCTCACCTGCAAAATATTTAATTTAATGCCAATATATACATTATATCTCCCTTGTTATCAAAATGGATTCCATGAACCTATAAACATTTCTTAGTATTGTTCATTGTTTGTTTAGGAGACAGTTATTTACATAGTAAGGTATAAAAGTTTGTTTACAGGCAGCTTCAAATTTGAGTGTGCAGGTGCTAGCTTATTGATTCCTTTTCTGCCAATGAATACAAAGTTCATAATCAGATGTACAGGCAAGGCAATCCTAAACTCAACCCATAATTTTGTGTCAGATTGTAGCCTAAAACCTTATAACACAATATGTTCTTGAATGTTCATATGACTTTAAGACAGAAATAACAGTTGCTATGTAATTTCAGGTCCTATCCAAAATACTACCTGAACTTCATCTGAAGAACTAAGAAGCTGAGATTGGAAGGTGGTTTTTTTTTCTGTGTCATTATATATTTACAACAGAGAGAATGAAACAAATTCATGTCTTGACTTTTCTACCTTCGCAATGGGATCTGAGTACAAAAGTAATTTCTACAAGCCGTGAACTGATTCACAGATTGGGTAGATATTGATATATCCTGTTTCCATTTATTATGAATTTATATTAACAAGTTCGTTGTGATAAATGATGACTTGGACACAGAAACACATTCTTAGGCAAACTGGAAACCTATCAGCTTAACCTGGTTGATAGTATTAGATACACAGATATGTAACATAACTTATCAAGGGCTTTGGCATGGGGCAGATAAAAAATTGAGGCAAGGTGGACCAGGTGTATTCTAGCCAGGCATAACTTCCACTGAAATTCATTCAAAATGATAGCAATTTGCATTTATGATCATGGACATCTCCAGTCATGGACATCACCTAAACTGTGTCCATAAAAATGTGCTCTCAGATAGGGGCAGCTGACTTTGAGATAATTTTACCAATATAGCAGTTTTATCTGTGATGAAGTTTTGTTTGTTTATAAATTGGAGATTCCAACAATACCAGCCATAATGGTTAACATAAATAAAATCTAGCTATCATAGAATATAATATCAAAAGAGCTTATAAAATCCACAAAACAATACAGCAATACAAATATCCAATGTAAAAAAACTCTTAGAAGATGAAGGCTTGAGCATAAAAATGTATCCACTCCTAACTAGCTACTACTTCTTAAAACAGGCCAAGGATGGAGCAGTCTGGACCTCTAGGGATAGGGTCATCCATAAGGAAGATGCCACCACTGAAAAAAAAAACACTTTGTCCTCATCACTTCCAGCATCTGCAATAAGGTGAGATTTATTGGAGCGACCAGATTGTAACATACGGGAAAGCTGATCCTTCAGATAAGCAGGACCCAAACAATTTATGGATTTATCTGTTAAAATAAGCAATCTGAATTTAATCCAGTAATCTGCCATGGCAAGTGTTACATGCTCCTGCTAGCAAATACCCAACAGATGTCTGACAGCTGAATTTCTGAACCTCCTTCAAGTACAGCATTAGAACTATCTAATTGGGAGGTAACAAGACCATGGGTATTAGTAGCCAGGTCAGAACTCTTCTGGAAGAAGTGTTGTTGATAGATCATTCACAGCTGGAAAAAGGCACCTCTTACTACCACACTGACCTGAAAATTCAAAGCCAGCAGAGTGTCAAAGAAGACCTCCAGACTGCATACCTGCTCCTTCAAGGGACAATAAACTCCATCTAGAACAGGTAAAGTCCTAACCATATGTATTAAGTCTCCCCAATTATTAAACCTTCTACCTTGATTAGATTATATCGAAACAGGAGCCCACCAGGCAGCTTGCACACCTGACGAACGTGGGAAAATGAAGCAGTTCTGAGTATTATCCACATTTAGATGAGTCCAGTCCCACACTCCCAATGATCATTCCCAGCAGTTTCATATAGATACTAAAGATCATGGGAGATAGAATGGAGTCCTGCAGTGCCCCAGTACAGAGGCTCTGGGAATGGAGCATTTAGGTCTCCCAATTTGTAACTTGAAGTGAAGGACTCTTCAGGCTCACTAAAGGCTCACTGGCTCAGCAATGCACTCTAAACTAGAATTGGTCATATTCACTTATGGATTTCCACCACTAGCTTTCTAGTCATTTCTTTGCCTGCTTCTTTCCTACAATTTCTTACTAGACCAAGGAGAACCAAAAGCTCGGCAAGCAGGCAGAGGTGAGCAATTGATAGCCTGGGACAATTGATTGTTTCAATCCGCCACCTAGTTTCAACTGATAGGTTTGACGTAACAGCAAGCTTCCTCACTAGTGAACTCTGGAATTGTATGGATTGAGAAGCTGCTAAGGGCAGATCCTTTAAATTACCTCCTTCCTCCTGCTGGAGAGTTGTCCAACAAACTGTAATTATGAGGTGATCTGTCCATGACAAAAGAGTCATCGCTGGCTCTTCCACCTAAATAGCACCTCCCATGGTGTCAAAGACTTAGTCTAAAGTGTGTGATGAGACGGGCAGAAGTTATTTGAGACAAGCTGTCAAAACCATGATGTCCATGAACTCCTGAGCTGCAACAACAAGGTGACCTTCAGCATCACTTCCAAGACTAGCTGTGGTGTTGGGTTACAAGGCATATTGTGCACCAACAGGATCCACATCCTGTCATCATTCCATAAACTCCAGGTACAGACAGAATTCTTAGTCTCTCGGTAATTTTTTTCTGAAGTATGAAAATATTGTACTATTAAAATTTGAGGTTGTATAGTAACACAGTATAAATAATTTGTTATGCAGTAGTCAAATAACCAGTATACTACTTCAGCTTATTGACAGAATGAAGAAGAATCATTCAGTAGAAGACAAGAAGGAGGTAGACAAGTATCAGAAAAAAGCAGATTAAAAATATTGAGGAAAATGTGGAGATTGAAAGGGGGAACAAAGAGCTGAAGAATGCAAGCAGACTGGAACTACAGCCTAATGGGGACTAGAGGTCAGACAGTAGATTAAAAGTTAAGGAACAATAAAAATAAAAAGATATGGATTTGGAGAAAAGGTGATCAGGCAAGAAAAAGCAAAATGAATTTTAAAAAATCAGTAGAACAGTCTTCAGCTTCTCTCCCTTAACCCCAGCCAGGGAATCTACCTGAACAAACCTGAATAGAAAAGTAAGACAATCAACAGAGCAGCACACCCCAAAGTGCTCTGATCAGCAAAATTTACACAATTAATAATAAAAGTCGCTAGCTACCTACTCATAGCAATATTATAGATCCATAATAGTCCCCTGCCCTATTTTATCCATTGTTGAAAGCAGTGGTGTCCACAGGGGTGGTTGAAACAGACAAGCTGGTGGACATGACAATATGATCCAAGCCCTGCCCCTCTATAGGTGCATGTAATGTAAACTCATGTACAAAAGGAGTGGAGCTAACCATCTCCATGGACACCACTGTATGGAAGGAAAGTTGCAACAGTATGTGAGACTCTGAATTCCTATCAAGCCTCTGAATCATCTTTTCATTTCTTAAAAATGTTTTAAAGGCACCTGATTCAATTACATGAAGATTCACTTGGAAGTTGTAATTCACCCAAACCCCCTCTGAAACAAATCATGTCCTTCAGGCACATGGCAGTTCCAACAATGACTTGCCTACTGCAACCCATAGGGTTATAATGACATAGGGCTGCCTTTGGAAACAAGCAATTAAACAGCCAGGCTATTAGCCAGTGAAACCTATAATTGCAGGACAATGTGGTCACCAGGCCCAATTCATCTATAAAGGCTTAAATGGTAGGACATATCAGGGAACAACTTGGCAAGCATGATTCTGCCCATTTGGTTTGAACACTGAGGGACAACTTACTCTAGATCCTCCATTCCCTCCCACCCCCCGGGAGTTTAAGGGAGTTGGACCAGGAAACAGGTTTTCTCAGTAATGACCCCTGGTTTCAGGAACATTTTCCTGCCTGTTAGCCCTTTGAGGCAGTCCAGACAAGAAGCAAAACCATGAATACTAACTCTTTATTGTAAGGTTACATTTACAGAATCTCGCAACCCTGAAAGTACTTCCCCCCTCCTTTCCTTTTACTCTCTGGAAAACTAGGAGGGCCCCTTCTGAAATGTTTCCCATGCCTCCTCCCACGCCTTGTTTTCTAAAAAGAAATATGTGCAGCTTCCAATAAACCACACAATT